TTATCGTGTAGACCTCTAGAGATCTTTGGAATGTTCAACTTTTTAGTTTTGCCAATGCATTTCAGTCCGGTTATAACAGCAAATTCCTCTATACCGAAACAAAGTAACTTCCCTCCAAAATCGAACCAAACCTCATCGCTCCTATTCAGTTCGAGTTTTTCTCGAAAACCAGTTTTTTTTGTACGAGCTTTGGTTGGTTTTTTTGGAGGATTTTACGGATACGGGCACTAGATCTTAAAACCGGTGAATCGTCGCCAACATCTGCCAGATCTCTTCGATTAGTATGAGGGAGCTTGGTTTTTGCCATTGATTCTTGGAATGGGCGAAAAAAAAATTGGGGCGGTTTTAGAAAAAAAATTATGACGGGGAGAAGGTGGGGTGTTTATTTTCACCTTTTTGTTCTCCACTCTTTTTGTTATAAGATATTTAAAAATCCCGTAATTATCTCCTTAGCATTAAAATCATGTTATTAAGTGTTAAGTTTGATTTTTGGTATATTTGATAATTTTTAAGCTTATTTAGATAAAAATAAAAATAAGTATATTTATACTTGAAAAGTGTAATAAAATTTAAAGGGCAATGTAAGGGGTGTAATTTCCTCTTCTTTTTATGAAGACTGGGCCAAAGGCCCAAAGTTTGACTTGTGCTGCTTTACTTAAACCTTGATCTAATTTTTTTTTTAACTTTTCAAATTAGACTGGGCTGGAGCCCACCCAAGCCTTTGAGGTGGCTAGTCTTTTTTTTAATAATGGTGGGCCATTTGTTTCCTTCCATTTCTCCTGAAGCTTCCTCCCTCATTTTCTCGCCTAACTTCAATGTTTGGTCGCCCTGCAACTATATCGAACTTTTGACTAAGTACGTTGCATCTTGATTTTTATGTGAAAGATGTTCCTGTCAATTGTTCTTGCAGTTAGAAAACTTTTGGATAGGTGTAATGTGATTCACAACAAAAATTAGGACTTGCTATCGATCTTTTCCATTTATTATTTATCTTCATGTTGTGTTTTTCTCAAATAGATTGAAACATAATTTACATGCTTCCTTAGTTAATGGTATCCATATTGTTATATTTTTGTGCTCCCATTTCTATCTTCCATTGTGTATCACAGTGTTCTACCAAACATGGACTATATTGTCTCTTCCTTAGGGATTGTTGTTGAATATAAAAATGAATATTAAATTTTGTATTGATTTCCTTGATTTTAGTTTAGGTTTTTCGCTGATATGAATACACTCTTAAATGTAAAATTTTTTGTTAAATTCTTAATATTGCATATTGCTTTGATTTACAAACTTAACAATGTATTACTTTTAGCTGTAAGAATAAACTAGTGTGTGGCCAGTGCGATGCACGGAAAAATAATATTACGATTATATTAAAAATTTAATATATAAATAACATTGATCATGATCTACCCATTGTTTTAAATTAAACGGGGTTGGACACAGTCCGACCGAATGGACTTAGAACCGGTTTATAATTTGCTTGAATACAATATTTGCTATTGAATCCGTCAACACCAGTCGATTGGACTGGTAGGATCGATATTTTAAATATCACCTAAAAGTAATTCAATCAACCTGGGCAATATCCGATTGATCCAAAGAAATTTCCTTATTTCCTATAAATATATTTAATATTATGAAATAAAAATATTTTATGATTCATATAGTAAATGTCTACACTAAATGATAGTATATTAAGATTATAAATTATATATCTGAAGTTGAATTAATTATTTTTATTATGCATATTAATAAAAAATTAAACATAGTGATTTTCAGAAAATTAATATTGATTGATTGATTATCAATTTAAAGAATATTTTTAGTGTTCAATATTTGTTTGAAAGGCACAAATAAAAGACCGAGATTCTAAAACATCTATTATTTTTTGAATTGAGATTTTATAAATATAGAGACCGAAATTTTAATGTTGTTCCTTGCTTCTAAAAAAAATAAATAAAATAATAAAAAAATCACACGAACACTTAAAAAGAACTTATCCAGATTTTTTAAATAATAAAATGAACTAAAGCCCAAAATTTAAGGTAACATTTAATGTTGTATGATTTTTAAAGAAAATAGTAATAAAATTAATGAAACTTACTATTTATAGGTTGCGTTAAATGTTAACCAATATTTTTGCTACCATTTTTGGTAAATAGGATGGCTTTATATATATATGTATATATATGCTTACAAACAAATCATAAAAAATGATCAACACTTCCAATAACAATGTATTTCTCGTTTAGTTATAAGGATGCTTGGTAAAAGATAATGTCATATGATCTAAGGACACACCGTGGGCCAGGCCATGCAGTGCACAACGACTACCTCCTAGTGTATA